GGAAGTACCCTGAAGCCGTGTGATCATTGCCTTTATGGCAAGTAGCATCGAGTATCATTCAGTTCAATGAGCAAGAGGAAAACAAAAGTACTTAGTATGGTATACTCAGATGTTTGTGGCCCAATCGAAATGGAGTCACTTAGCGGCCGCAAGTATTTTATGACCTTCATTGATGATGCATCAAGGAAGTTGTGGATGTATTTCCTGAAGACGAAGGATGAGGTATTCTAGCACTTTCAGGAGTTCTATGCAATGGTGGAAAGAGAGATCGGAAAGAAGTTGAAGTGTCATCGCACAGATAATGGTGGCAAATACACTTTCAATACTTTTGAAGCATATTGTGCTAGCAGAGGTATCCAACACGGGACAACAGTTCCCGGTACCCCATAACACAATGGTGTGGCAGAAAAAATAGACCGCACTATTATTGAAAGAGTCAGATGTATGCTCAGAATGGCAAAGTTGCCAAAGTCATTCTGGGCTGAAGCCGCCCGTATAGCCTGTTCTCTCATCAACAGGTCACTTTCAGTCCAGTTGAATTTTGTGATACCTGAGGAAGTCTAGTCTAGAAGAAAGGTATGATATTCTTACTTGAGAGTCTTCAAGTGTAAGGCGTTCGCACACATCTCCAAGGAAAACAGACAGAAGCTTGATAACAAGTCCACTCCATCCATATTTGTGGGCTATTCAGATGCAGCATTTGGGTACAAGTTGTGGAACCCAGTGAATAAGATGTTCAGGAGTAAAGATGTCAAGTTCTAGGAAGACCAAACAGTAGCAGATTTTGAGAAGTCTGCAAAGTCTAGAGATGTCATCACTCCAGACTTGTTCCCTTCTCCCGAGCCATCACAAAATGATAGATGTGCAACAAGAAGTGCTAGAGTTATAGGATCCTATGCCAAAAATTGAGGATCAAGAGGAAAGAGAAGAAGACCCAGACGAAGAGGGTGTTGAGTAGGGGGAGCAACCCCCTCAACCAGAGGCAACTGGGCCTCAGTTGTGGAGATCTGGAAGAGTTGTTGTGCCATCCACCAAATATCCCGCTTCTCAGTATATTCTGATTACTGATGAGGGGAAGCCTGACTGTTTTTCGGAAGCAAAGAGTCATACAGAGAAAGATTGTTGGATGCAAGCCATGAAGGAGAATATGAGTTCTTTGTAGAAGAACCACACTTATGAGCATGTTTCACTTCCAAAGGGCATAAAGGCATTGAAAAACAAATGGGTGTACAAATTGAAGAAGGATGGCAACAGTAAAATACTATAGCATAAAGCTCCCTTGGTGGTCAAAGGTTTTGGGTAGAAGAAAAGAATTGATTTTGATGAGATCTTCTCCCTAGTTGTGAAGATAACTTCCATTTGAGTAGTTCTAGGATTAACAGCTCACTTGAATATGGTGGTAGGATAGATGGATGCCAAGACTGCCTTTCTCCATGTAATTTGGAGGAAGAGATCTATATGGAGCAACCAGAAGGATTTGAAGTTAAGGGAAAACAAGATCTAGTCTGCAAACTAAAGAAGAGTCTCTACGGCTTGAAGCAAGCACCAAGACAATGGTACAAGAAGTTTGATTCATTCATGGTGGATGACTAATATACAAGAATAGTAGCAGACCGGTGTGTATATTTTCGAAGGTTTTCGGATAGAAACTTCAGCATCCTACTATTGTATGTCGATGACATGCTAATCATCAGACAAGATATTGCTATGATCAACAAGTTGAAAAAGGACTTGTTGCAATATTTTGACATGAAGAATTTAGGCCCAGCATAACAGATTTTGGGCATGAAGATTGTTCATGACAGAAAAGCCAAGAAGATATGGCCGTCACAGGAGAAATATGTTGAACAGGTGATTGAAAGGTTCAACATAAAAGATGCCAAGCTAGTCAGCACACCACTGGCCAACCATTTCAATGTGACAAAGCGTTTGTGTCCCATGACCAACTCTGCAAGGAAAGAAATGGAGGCAATCCCTTATTCTTCCGTAGTAGGAAGTTTGATGTATGCAATTGTGTGTATCCGGCCAGATATAGCTCACACAGTTGGCGTTATGAGCAGATTCCTCGCCAATCCAGGAAAGGAGCATTGAGAGGTGGTCAAATGAATTCTTCGGTACTTGAAGGGAACTTCAAAGATGTGTTTATGTTTCGGAGAAGCTGAACCAATTTTGGAGGGTTTTATAGATACCGATATGGCAGGTGATCTTGATGGTAGAAAGTCTACATCAAGATTTCTGTTCACTTTTGCAGTGGGAGTTGTCTCATGACAATGCAAACTACAAAAGTGTGTTGTTTTATCTACAACAGAGGCAGAGTACATTGCTGCCACAGATGCTGGAAAGGAAATGTTGTGGTTAAAGCGATTTCTCCAAGAATTGGGTCTACAGCAGGAAGAATACAAGGTACATTGTGATAGTCAAAGTGCAATTGATCTGAGCAAGAATTCCATGTACCATTCACGTACAAAGCACATTGATGTTCAGTATCATTGGATACGAGAAATGATGGAAAAGCAGCTAATGAAACTAGTGAAGATTCACACAGACAAGAATCCTTCTGACATGATGACCAAGGGTGTCACCAGAGACAAACTGGAAGTTTGCAAGAATCTGACCGGGATGGACTTCAAGTGAGACTAATATGTGATTATGAATTATGACGTGGAAGTTTCTATGGTAGCTATGCACCTGATGGGATAATTTTTATATTTTAAAACAATAAATAAATACATCAAAATTAAATATAAAGGTGTAAATACTTTTCTGCTCAAGGCTCACTGCAGAGAAGGAAGCTTTGCTCTTTTGAAAGTAAAATTGGTTTCCTTAGCTTTAGTGATTGAGCTTCTCACTGAGCATTAACTTTGTGTTTTTTCTTGATTGCTCATTTACTTAATTTTTCCTACAGAATATAGTTGCAAAAGGTTTTTTTTTATTTTTTTGCTTTTTTATGCTTAAACAAGAACCTAAGACAAAATTAAACAAAACCTAAGACAAACTCTTCATATGCGTACTCCTCACATGCTTATACGTAAAAGGTGTACGAGACATACCTAAGGTGCATGTCTCAGATTGTGTGCGCAAGCCTTTGGGGAATAAAGCCTAAAAATCAAAGCCTTGAGGCATTGTGCCTTGGCCTTGCCTCAAGGCGAGCATCAAGGCAAGCCTCAGTAAAGCCTTTTAAAATGTTGATTACAAATAACGATAATTTTTAAAAGAGCTGCAACTGCATGTTTTTGTGGTTCGGAAGCCCATTAAGTTCTAATCATACTGGAAAAGATTATTGCATTTGAATTTTTTACTGTTCAATAAAATTTGGAAATTATTTACTTGGTAGTTTTTGTATCTTCTTGAGTAAAATATAGTCTTATAAGCAAGCATAATTTTATATCTATTCATTTATCTCTTTCTCACATTTTTACTTCCCACCAAATTTCTTGGAATTTTGCAGTTACACTGTCTGTAGAACTTGGAAAACCTGTGGCAGATCCCATGTATCAACGAACTCCCCGGCCAAGCTTTAGTGAGGTTAAAATCTCCTTGAGTATTTGTATCTTATCTGTTGGAATTTCTGCATTGCGCCGTTCTAGTTTACCTCTCTGACATTTTACCAGGCAATGGAGTCTTGTCCAAAGGCAGACATTCCCAATCTTAAGGATCTACTTAAAGAGGAAAATATGTACTTGATCACTAAGGTTTGTGGATTTTTGAATCTTGGTCATATATGTCTGCTTCTTGAATTAGCCTCTTTTTTTTTTTTTTCTTTTCTTCTTAATTACTGTGACGAAACATTCAAATTTTTAAAAGGGACAGGTAACATAATTTTATTTCATGATAAATTGGATTGAATCTACCATGACATTCTTCTTTCCAAAGATTTTGGATAAGTAGGGTGCTTTTTTGATTTAAATAGAATGAAAATTTTACTGCCTCTTCTCAAAATTTTGTTTATTGTCTCCCTGGTTGATTAGCTTTTATCAGTTAAAATGATGGAGATTTTCTTGATCTTACAACCTAGCCACAAGAAGTTAATCATATAATGTCTCAAATCAGAGTCTTTTCCCAAGTATTCTGATCACATAGCACCCTAAATGATTCTTTTGTTTATTTGCTGTGATAAATGGACAACATCATCTATATCTCCCCTCTGATTATTGATGATGGGTTAAAAATAAGAAAAATAGCTCATTTGGGTGTCTCTTACTTTTTGCATACCTTGCTTTAGCTTTGTACAATTCTTTGATTTTAAAGCATCTATCTTCAATTTTTGGTACCTAACAACGGATTCCACCTAAGCAATCACCCACCCCACACACACATTTCTTTTTTATTTTTGTTTTTCTTATTTGTAAATGACAATGAAGACCATTTTAGTTTGTAAGAAGTCACATGCCTAATAATTATTGTAGCAAAGGAAAAATCTCTATGACACTCACATGAACTCGAGAATAGCTCTGTTTGGTAGAGCTTATTTCTAACTTATTTCAGCTTTTAGCTTAATTTAAGCTATTTTGATGTGTTTGGTTCAGCTTAACAATACAGCTTATACCTTTTTGTAAGTCAAAAATCAACTTATTCTTTGAGTGGGGGAGGAGAAGCTTAATTTATAAGTCAAAAATCAGTTTATGTTCACAGCTATAAGCTATAAACTGTTAGACTATAAGTTATAATCACTTTTCCACAGCTCTACCAAACGGGGCCGTTGGTGTTCAACAACTTGTCTGTCCATGGAATAGAGAGAGGTCAGAATCCACCATCAACAGTGAATTGTGATTACTTGAAACCATGTTTTGCCTCTCAACTCTCCCATGCAATATGTTTTTAACCACCCAAAAAACAAATTCTCTTAAAAGATTAGTGTACACACATCTGTGTCGGGAAAAGAGTGAAACTTAATTGTAATTTTGGGCTGGCCAAAAGTACTTTACAAGGCTTCCAATTTCTGAAACGGAGTAGATCGTAGAGCTTGTAATTCAGCCTACAGAAACTAATATGTGATTATGAATTATGTAGTGGAAGTTTCTATAGTAGCTATGCACCTGATGGGCTTTATCGAATGAACTATTCCTTTATACCTCCACATTTGCTGATTGTGGGCATGAAATGTATTTACTGTACTCATGGTTGTAAGTAGGCAGGAGAGCAAGGGCGCTTACCTGTGCTGATTTTGAGCATTAATGAAAGCAGTCATCAAAGGAAGCCATTTGTAGTATTTTTGCATAGCACACATAAGTGCAAAGAGTGGTTACGGCCATTGCTTGAGGTACCTATTTTGAGGTTTTCTCAGACCTGCAGTTTTCATCAGATAGACTTTGTTAACACAAGAGATCATCCTATATTTTTCCATTGTTTCAGGCATATGCTTCGCGTGGATATATAGCTGTTGCCATTGATTCTCGTTACCATGGAGAGCGTGCCAGCAGTATGACCACCTATCGAGATGTGTGTATGGAATACTGATGTTTTGATTTAACTTTGCAATATGGGCCTGGTCAAAACAAATAAATAAATAAACAAAAGAAAAAAGTTGTTCGTATTCTCTTACTATATGACCTACCACCTTATTCAGGCAAATAGTTTGGTGTTAGGCATGATCAAAAACTAAATCTGAGCAAGTAATATTCCAAAATGAGAGGATTTTGTGTTGCTGCAGTGAGATACGACTCCTATGGATTCTCTCATGTTTCAAATCTGAGAATGAGTTCATAACCCAGGTTGAGAACAACATTGTTGTCCTAATATGGTTTTGCTACTATCATGCAGGCTCTCGTTTCATCATGGAAACAATGTGATACAATGCCATTCATATTTGATACGGTAATTTCTTCATTCGTTCTGTTTTGAAACATATAGTTTGACGAGTCTGTAACAGTATATATCAAATATTTCAGAATCCAATGTAATTAATGAATAAAAAAACTCAACTGAAAACTTTGCATTCTGCAGGTCTGGGACTTGATAAAACTGGCTAATTATCTTGCACAGAGCGAGGATATAGACCCTTCTAAGATAGGAATCACCGGTGAATCACTTGGAGGTTGGAACTTGGAAGAACAAAAATTTAAAAAAAAAAAAAAAAACATAAAAACATGCATAGAGTAATTCTTAAATGTAGGAATGCATGCGTGGTTTGCTGCTGCTGTTGACACCCGCTATGCTGTAGCTGTACCAATAATTGGGGTTCATGTTTGTCATATCCAAAGTTGTATGCGATAAGTGAGGATTTCTTAAATCTTTGTATTGGACAATGGTACGGAAGAGTTGACTATTTATGCAATATGGTCTTAGGGCTTTCGATGGGCTATAGACCATGACAAGTGGCACGGTCGGGTTGACAATATCAAGGCTGTGTTTGAAGGTGAGGCACAGAAAGATGAAATTAATTAATTTCAAACATCAAAAAGTAAAGGGAATTAACTATGACTTTGTTTGTAATTCACTTCTACTTGTTTGCTCTGGAATCAGCAACTCCTACTACAAAATTCATTTTTGTGGAGGCTTCTCATATTCAAAATACTTTGATGTTGTTGATATTTGAGCACTCAAAAGTAAATTCCAACCTGTAGTTGTAACCATCCATAAGAAACAGAGTAATCAATGGTTAAACTGTAAGGACCTTTTGTAAATGTTTGCATAACTAACTCTTTATGGGACGTGTGCCATTCGAAGTATTGAGCTTCTTGAAGCATATTTCTTGGATTGAATGCATCTATTGTTTTTGTGATACTACTAGTTTTTGGTTTCAGAAACACGGATTGATCTAGGGAAGAGTGCTATTGATAAGGAAGTGGTGGAGCAGGTCAGTTACAGTTCAATTCTGTACATCTAAATAAGCTGCAATATTACCATGTGATCACAACTAAGCTATGTGGAGATTTTAGCTTTACCACCTATTGTACATATATCAAAAGTGTCGGTTTCAGAAAATCGAAACATCTAATGGTTTTTTCACCCAGAGGAGCGACTGTTTTCTCTGGATCTTGAAAAGCCATCAATCCCTGGTTTTTTTGTGCCAGTTATACTATTCTAGCTGCAGATGGCATTTTTATCCTCCAATAAGCAGCTTGTATGTTGAGCTTTCTACTCTTTGGGAGCCAGATCGCATATAATATGATTTCTTTTTCAAATCAGGTTTGGATCAGAATTGCTCCTGGCTTAGCTTCCAAGTTTGATTCACCTTATTCTATTCCAATTATTGCACCACGGCCTCTGCTGATCTTTAGATGGTATGACCTTTCCCGTGTAAAAAATTACTAACTGCACATAATCCGATTACAGAACTAGACACAACCCTCTCACTCACATGAGGTAAGAGAACCCATTAAATGTGTGGCTGTTCAGTGATCAGATTCTGTGTACATAGAAGAGCTGTTTATGGCACTCCAGTCATCAATGAACTAGTAGGTTCACTTTCTTAGAAGCAAAGAACATACTTGAAATGTAACATTTTTTTTAACATACAGGTGAAAAAGATCCTCGATGCCCAATTGAAGGTCTGGAAATTACCAAATCAAGAGCATGCAAGGCTTATGAAGATGCCCATTGTCCAGATAATTTCAAGGTATTGTATGAAACTGTGTCATCTGATCAACTGATAATGGTCACAATGTCAAGAGAAAGAGAGGCATAGCTAAAACTGTCTCGGTCCTTTGAACTTCCAACTGTATGATATTTTTTTGTTCTAACGGTTCATTTCTTTAAATTGATTTCTAGGTGATAGCACAACCTGGAATTGGACACGAAATGATGCCATTGATGGTGAAAGAAGCCAGTGATTGGTTTGATACATTCCTCAAGTAAGAATAGCAATAGCTCCCTGATTATTAGGAATATTATTTGTGTAGATGTATCATCAATGTTTGTTGTATCTCAATTTGCTAGGACATATGATATTCACTCTTTTGAGTAGTCTCAATTTAAGAAGAGCTGAACAATTGATGTATGCACAATGTGCAAGTCTCCCTACAAAGCTTAAATTATCTACTAATCTTTGGCTCTGCAGCTCAAACCCAACAAAGTGTGGATTTGGGTCATCCAGCTAAGAACTCTTACTCTCTTTCTTTCTTTTTTTTAACTCGGCTAAGAACTCTTACTTTAATCTGCATTTTGTTTCAAAACCTTTTCTCAATGGAAAAACAGCGGGAAAAAGAGGAAAAAATAATTGAAAAAATCATAATTGTTATAAAATGAAGAAAATGTAAAAACATATAAAATAATAAATTGTAAAGCGAATAAAGTAATAAATTTAGCACAAGATATAGAAAGAATTGAGTTCTTCAGGAACTCTTGTTTGGTGCTTTAGGAACCTTTTTTGTATAGATCTTTAGGATCTAGTTATATTATTTATTCAATAAATTTACTGTACATTTCAGTATAGTTTTCATCCTTTCCATATTTCTCTTCGGAACTTTTCGTTTTCTTTCTGCGTCACTTCTTTTTGTATCTGATCGAACAAAAGACCGCCCTATTTATAGAGTAGGAGTAGGAGTGAGAGCGAATGCAAGAGCATCAATTTGTGAAATGTATAAGACTGACGGAGCCACTAGAGCGTCTATATGTTCATATATGTATGTACATTTTGTGTAAGATGTTTTCTAATAATTTTATATAGCTTTACATTTGTATAACTTAGGTACGAGAGTAACACGTCAACAAACCATTGTTAGAAACAGAAAATTCCAGCTACATGGCAAGTAAAAATCAGTCAAAACAAAATTCATGAATTTCCCAAGACAGATCTGCAAATTGGGGGCGATTTCACTCCCAATTCACATATTTGCAAATAACAGCACAATGTGGCCTCCTACCTACGCAAGTTAGGGCACTTAGCTCCAAACACAATCCTATTAAAATCACATGAACCCCAACCGAGGAATGTAGGATTCTAGGGTGTATCCCATTTTCATCAATATGATATGACTAATGAATGACTCATGGAAAGGGGGCAAAGTGTTCGTAAATTAAAACCTTAAGGCCATGTTTGTTTGGGCGGACTGGATTAAGTTGGATTAGTATTCCCATGACTAATAGGCCCTGTTTGGTACAGCTTAATTTCAGCTTATTTCAGCTTTCAGCTTAATTTAAGCTATTTTGATGTATTTGGTTTAGCTTATAGCTTATAGCTTATAGTTTTGTGGAAGTCAGAAAACAACTTATTCTTTGAGTGGGGCAGGAGATGCTTTAAGAATAAGCTGGAAATCAGCTTAAGCTGAAAGTTATAAGCTATAAGCTGTTTAGGCATAAGTTATAAGCACTTTTCCACAGCTCTACCAAACAGGGCCATAGTCCTGGAATTACGAATTCCTTTTGATTGTATATCATGTCCCATGTTTGGGTTGAGTTAGGATTATAAGGAGAGATTAACAAAATATTATCCAATCCGATATTTGTTTAAGGGGATTGGAATGGATAGGACATGACAGGACAAGAGACATTCAATATATTGACCATAATACCTCTATTATGGTCATTTGATAAGTTACTCCAAACTTTGACTTGGTCTCCCAATTTATATCACACCCCCTATGTGGGATTGAATAATCCATCATATGTGGGATATCATATCCGGATAAATTATTTATCCATACTTCAATTTTTTAACCAAACATCAGATTAATAATTTTATTGGACTATTAGTCCAATCCCAAGCACATGTCCACCCAAACAAACATGACCTAAGGGTGCATAGTGTGCCTAACTTGTGGGGCTCGGTGTATTTTTTCCAAACCTTAAGGGAGGTTAGTGTAATTTACCTTAAAATAATAGTGCAAACTTCTTTTTCTAAAACTAATAGCAAATATTTGTACTGATACAATATGTGATTACAAGAAACCATAAAATTTAGGGTAACACGTAAAATTATTAAATAATAAAAGCTATATGTGTTATTAGTATCTATAGAGAGCTATAGAAAAATAACCAGTAGGCTAGTTAGCAGGAGAAGAGAAAAGGCCCCCCCAAAAAAAAGGTTTGCAGGAGGCTCTAAACCAATTCCAATATTTATATCAGTCCAAAACGTCAAACCAATCCCTTAAAATTAGTAATACGGGGCAGGCTGACGTCGCGGATGACAACTCCTAACTTTCTAACGGAGCATAAGGTGATTGTGACGCTTGAATCTGTAAGAATGCATGTGAAGAAGATCTTTGAAAATAAAAAATGCTTATAGAGTGGTTTAGAAGTGCACCATAGACTGGCAAAGGTGGCTGCTGATGGGGGGACATCTGTCCATTCCAGGCAGGATTAGCACCTTGTCAGTGGTGACTGCTCGTACTGAGGTACCATCATGTTTGCGACAATTCCGTTGGGGTAAACTGAGGTTTGTGGATATTGAATATTCTGATGCTGCTGATATTGTGGCTATGAGAGGTATGCTTGTCCAACTGGAGAAGCAGGTTGATTATTGTTAATTTGAGAAAACATATCTACAAGAGTGAGGGCATTGTGCTGACCAGCTACAGGACTGGTCTGGGGTTCTGCCAAAGGAGAGTTGAAGTCATCTCCGCTCAAAAGGTCCATTTTGGGATTAACCTTTGTTGAAATTGTTGGCAGCTCATTAGTGGCAGGAAGTTGCTGCTGTTTCCCTGCACCAGCATTGGAGGTGGATCTGTAGAAAAATCCAGGTGTTTACTGCTTACGATAACCAGTACCTTCATTATAAAGGATATGAATTTTCTTAAAATTTCACGCTAGGTTTGATGCTTAAGCCATATCAAAATTCCAACCTCTTCATACGACGATGAGGAGAGAAAAGGAAGAAAAAACAAAACTCAGCTGTTCAGGAAGAAAACAAAGAACTTTCAATTTTTCTTAAAATTGTTTCAATATCATTAGTATGGCGTCAAAATAGAAAGTCAAAACATCTGTTCTATAATGAGAATAAACTCACTCAAGATCTAGATATCCATTGCATAAGTCTTCCAAAGTTAACAATTCAATCAATCATTTAGAAGGAATGTGGCATCTAATTTCCAATTGTTTAGCCATTGGCTTTCTAAAAAAATTGTGCAAAACATAAACACTAATGTTTTGACATCTATGAACTATACCCAATATAAATTTTCAAAAGACCAATTCCAACAATAAATGATGTATCAGGGATATTAGCCAACACAAATACTGTAAAGAATAAAAATTCAAATAAACTTATATTACCCCCCATCAGACTGTTTACTGTCTCCTGTATATATTAGAGGAGCATCCAGATTCACCAGTGCTTGAACAGGTCCAGGCTTCAGTTTCTCTGTTTTGGCAATGGATTCATGTTTGGCCAGTAGTCGCTGCAAGTTATCATTCAGTGCAAGTCCTTGACATAGCAGTGATTCATCCCTACAAGAGGTATATGAATAATGAATATACACAGTGACAACAACATTGGTTGCATATAAAGAGTAAGCTGTAGCATCTACTACATCCAGTCCCAAGGCATTTTCTTATAGTACATAACTCTTCTTCATTTATAAATCAGAAACCACAGATGGGTAAATACATACATGCACACCCACCCCCCCACACACACAGAAAAGATATGCTAAAAGGGTATCAATTAGAGACCTACAAGACAACACAATATTATCTTGACAGGCAAAATGCAAGTAACTACCTACTTGAAAAGGATTGAGTACAGGGTCTCACCAGTCGCCCTTAGCCAAACATTTATACCTTAATTTTGTTTATCTTTCCACTCTTGAACCTCTGCTTATAAAAGGCAAGTGAAGATCAACCTATGGAAACCTTCATCCTTACTTATTTCAATGGGTATGTGAGGTCAACTGTTAATAAAATAACCAATAATACAAAGGGACTTACCCCAGGTTCAAAAACAAAGTTGGAAAGGAGGCTATTTAACTCTCAGGGTTTGAAAATCAAAGCTCCATCATACACCCCCAACGATCTCCAATCCAAGCAGTTTTTCCACATTCCAGTTGAGTTCACTCTTCCCAGGGTTTCCACATTCCATAATCAATTTTGCACCCACGAAAATTTTAATATTTCATTTTGGCTATTAAATTTTCTTTTGAAATTTACAACATGACCCCAAAAGTGTCCCCGGCGTGTAAGGGCACTAGCGATACATGTCCTAGTCATGTCCTTTGTGGACTGGACGGTGTTGTTGGGCCCATGGGGCCTACCACAGGTCTTGTTTCGATAATCCGAACTTTTCAATGTGTAGAGCTCGTCAAGTACTTTATCCCTGTACAAAATCACGTTGATCAGATATCGATAGCTACTTGATCAGATCAAATTTTTGTCAATAATTTATTTTAAAAATTATATTTACCGTTAATAGAAATATGATCCAATCAAGTAGCTATTAATATCCAATCAATGTGATTTTTTACAAGGATAACATACTCAACGAACTTTACACATTGAACAGTTCGGATCATTGAAACATGACCCGTGGTGGGCCCCCATGGGCCCAACAACACACTTCAGTCCAATCTCGGACTGGAGAGAAGCCTGGCCCTTTCTCTTAATGCACACATCTTTTTGGTTTGGAAATCAACTTTCAAATAAAACTGTTTGGTTCAAAAATCAAGTTTTAAACAAACTGTTTGGTTGGAAACCAACTTCTGAACCAAATAGTTTTGTTCAGAAATCAAATTTGGAACCAAAAATTCGGAAATGAAGTGTGTGAACAGAGATAATGTGGTGTGTGGAAATAGAAGCTCCCTAAAGTGATAGAAGAGCAGCTAGATGAAGCAGGGTGAGGCATCCTTTGGGGAAGGCATCCTTTGGGGCATAATTAAGTGAAACATGTGAACAACTAAACCAATCCAATCAAGGGTGGTAAAGTGGCCTCTGAAGTGTTCAAGGTTGTTGGGGGAAGGTCTGATTTAAGCCTGTCCTAGGATGTGGATGTTTTTTTCTGCAATATTCCCTTTGGGTTTTAACTCCTTTTGTTAGGAAATGGCTGTCTGATTTATTTTCCTAATAAAGTAAAAGGAGAAAGGGAAAAACTACTATACAAGATTGATTTTAAACCAGCACTAAAATTCGTTATACAAATGGGCATAATCAGTAGGGTAAGTAATACAAGGCCTTACGAAGTCGAGTTAACAAGGTGTACCACTCTTTGCTTGTATGTGCGGCATTGATCCACCAAGTCAACAACAACCTCCTGTCTAATCCCCTACAACGTGAAAATATGATAACTCAACGCAAGGATAGACTAGCAAATTTAAGAATGTAATGTGTAAGAAATTTGCGAGGAAAGAATAATCGGTCCAAGACATATAGACTTGTTAATTTTAGCATTATTTCAGTCCCTTAACAACCCAAGTATCAGACGGAGGTTTCACCAAGTCTAAAAAGCCCACTATTAGTTCAGTATGTTGGATGTTTTACATAGAACTGCATCATTAATGTAACACTACACCAGAATCTTCAACCAGAGAAAAAGACACAACAAAAAATTAGGTCTTACAGCTTATAGATTGGGAAAATACCTCTTTGTTCCCAGGACCTATTGCATTCAGCATTTCTGAAAGAACATCCATAATACCTCGTGCATTCTGAATTTCTGTCAAGCTGGCAAAAAAATTATCCATTAATGACATAACCACAAGTAATAATAATCAACACAGTAGAAGATGCAAAAGAGTTTTACTGCAAACTAGCACATTTAGTCTGTGCTGATTCAAATCCTCTTTCCTCTAATCAATGAAGAGCAGAGAAATTAGTTTGTCAGGGAAAAATTGCAACCATAAAATAGAAACAACAAAGTGACTTGTATAAATTAAGGCTGCAAACAAACCAAGTTGTTCACGAACAGCTCAAGTTTGGACCAGCAATGGAGTTCAAGCTTGTTTATCTATAAAAGTAGAGACCATGTGTGCAGTTCCAAGACTAGTTTGGTTAAACAGCTAACCCAGAACAGGCCCACACTCATCTCATTAGGATTGACTTGATCATTTTTTCATTGACATGTATTATTAAGATTGTGACGTACAAAAAAATCTGCAAACCTCATAAGATGCAACTATACTCCACTAGAGGGGAACACATGCTATGCACATGTACATCCCCTCATTGGATTAAATATGTCATAGTTATTTCCTACTTTTTTATTGAAGTTTACTGTCAAACACTCATTTGTTGGCTTTATGTAATAGGACAGATTATCAACGAAAATCCCAGAACTGTGCCACAACTGCTCATCATCTATTTATGCTTTACTCCACGAGTGAAGAAAGAATTGAATGAAGATAAAAGATCAGAAGTTAAAGATGCATACAGCTTCATTACAACACCTGATCACCCAACATGCATATAAGCAAAAAGTTCAGAGGGTACTCTTTAGAAAATGCATATGAGGAATTAGAATTGGTTTCCCATCCGAAATTGTTTGAGATCATTTAGTGAAATGCTACGGGAAAAGAAGCACCAACTGGCAAATTGGGGGGAGTTTTCTACACTGATAGATTGGGTGTTAATTACTGAATTATCTTTCTTTCAAACAGAAAAAGAAAAGGACGCAACATTTACCTCAACGTTGGAAACTCAGCCTCTGCAAAAGACTCAGCCGCTTCTTGCTGATATCCTCAAGCCCAAATATTATGTGGATATGATGTTAGAGGCTGTGATTGTGGGGGTGTAAATACAGGTGCAGACCTTTCAGTTCTTGGAGGGAATACAGCCCCAGCGCGCTGAAAGCAACAAGCAATTTGAATCAAAGAGTTTAAAAAACGAAACTGGTTGTCAAACAGAATATACAACAAAAGCCACAAAATAACCAAGTCACAGTGTCACACCTACCAAATGGTACCTAAACTATTAATACCTAAAAACATTGAGTTCCTTCTCAAATCTGACAAATACTTAATTACACAACTTACCAACAACTCCTCGTATGCAGAATAGTATTGTGGATATCTAGCCCTAGGCACACCAAAGGCTTCTTGCCAAGTATCAATTAGAATCAATATCTTCTCTTTCACATGAAAGTCAGGCTACAAAAACAAACAAAATATTATATTAGAAACAGTTTTAACCAAAAAATCAAAATATTCATACATACATAGAGGAGCAACAATGGTAGAAGTGATGTTCTAACCTTCTTCTTCACTATTTTCACCATGTCATAAAGCACATCTTTCTCTGCGACATGCATGTGGAGAAGGTCCCCACAATTCTTTATTATTGTCTCCACAATTCTTTAAGAAGTCCCTCTTCATTAAATTATCATATCTTGTGCCTGTTTCTGGATGTAATATACAACAGAATTTCTGTTCTAGCTCTATACACTTTTTTTGTTCCTTACAATTCTATGTTAGGAAATATAAAAAATGAAAAAGAATATCCAGGGTCTTCTTGTTTCTGAAAGTTGGAACTCTCAAGAACTTCCTGATATGTATTAAAGCTTTGTCAAAAAATTTGAGTACTGTCTCATCAACAATTTGAACGTTTTCAATTCCTCCGGCCCAAAGTTTATCGTATGATCATCAAACTTAAACTCTAATGGTGACAAAGAATTAAAAAGTTCTGGTCCAACCATCTCCATTTGGCTGTTGGGGACAACCCCCTTTTCAGGTGTTTTGGAAATAAAGGTTGTAAATCTCTCATTGTTACAAACAGAATTCTCTGGTATAGGATCCATGGTAGAAAACTTAGAAGAGATTGCAGCTGGTTTATGTAAACTAAAAAGATTCACTTTTTGGGTATCAGAAAATATTTCATCTTTACTGTCACCAAGTGAAACAGCATGGTCATTATGGTCATCAAGGCTGGAACCTGATAGAGCCATTTCACTAGCCACCTGTATGACTTCATTGCACTGGTCGCTAAGTTCATCGTTCGCTGACAATAAATCTGTTTCTGCTTCGGCATGTAACTTGCGAAGAGTAAGCAAAACAGGAGTGGGAAGAACTGGACCCACAAAACCAGTACTAGGCTGCACCTTCTGCGACCACTTACTGCTACGGAACGAAGGTGTCCGGAAGACAAAAGGAGGCAACTGGGGTTGGCTGGGGACGTCTAGGAATTCCAGGGACACCTTCTTGTGGTCTACAAGAACTTCAAGGAACTCTGAGTAGCAAGAAAAGGCCAACTGCAAAAGATCTGCAGGCAAGCTTGTCCAAATTCTCCGTAAAGCAACCTCATGTACGCTGGTTAGCAGTCGGATGTCTTCAAACACATCAGAAACAGTAGGAGATGATCTTAATCTACTAAATCCACATGCCTTTAACTTCTCACATATACATTGATGGAAATCTGCAACACTAAAGGAACTCTTTTCACAAGGATCCTTACAAGGATTTTTCATTCTTTTAAGCAGAAGTTCAGTAAGATTGCCTTTCATGTACCCATTGAGGTAGTCAAGATTCAGGTACTTAAATCTCTTGGGAAAGTTGTAATCCCCTTCACCCATGGCATATAAAAGAGTATCTTCAAAATGAAGAGATGGCTCTTCGTGCGCTTCAGTCAACACTTTCATGAATTCCCATGAGGCACAGTATCTTTGTGATTCAAGCTTCCCGGAAGACATCAGCCTAATCAGTGTGAAACCACCAAAACCATCCTGTTCAGACAATTCGGCATGGAGATCTCTGTCAAGGATGCCAAAACCCAAAACTATATCTTTCTTCTGCCGCCAGTCAATCCATTCAGGAAGAACATCCTTTGAGAACTCTTCTCTCACAAGACAACTTCCACAGTGACACTCACGACCTGACAGTGAGAGCTCTGAAGGGAGATCCCATGCATAAAACGATTTATAGAATCTTGAAATTTCAGATACAATAGTTCCTTTAGGGGGTGGTCCATAGCGAAAAAGACTAAAGTCACAGTTCCAAAACGATCCCATTATAATGCAAAAACCCGACTCAGAAGCCCACTTAAAACGATCATCCTTAGAATGCGACCTCAACTCAGACAATGGAAACACATTAATGTAAGATGGGTTAGCAAGATCATGTGCCCATTGCAACAATGGCATAAATGGCTTCCGCACATCGCAAAGAAGCAGCCAATGGTCAGAGGCCACTACAAAGCAGAAACCATCGGAACCCGCTTTAGAAAGCACAACAAATCGATCATTTTGTACAGAATTACACATAGCCAACGTATCAATTTTCAGCAAAACACTCATATTGCATCCCTCAGCCCTCAAATCAACAAGAAAAACAGCACTGGAATGAGCGACAATCAAAATTCTCGGATGCCAACTAAATTCACAGCTCAACCACCCGCCTTTTCCCAAACCAGTAAAAATTTTCCACGACACCCTCAGCTTTTTCCCAGTAAATCTTGCATTTTTAGAACAAGAATCTAAATCAAACAAGAATAATTCACCACTCTCTAAAAGTACCACACACTCTTCAGGCAAATGGTGACTCCAACAAGCATGAACAACACAACAACTCTTAAACAACTTACTACCCATAAAATCTAAACAAGGCCTCTCGAAATCCTCCGAACCGAGACAACCCCTAATTCTAACACTAAACCAATGAACACCATACATAGTACAAGCTAGCAAATACCCAATAGTAGTAACAGAAACAGAAACAGAAACAGAAGAATTATTATTACCTGAACCAGACCATGATTCATTAGCTACAGGGCTAACCAACAATCGAAGAATCTGATGGTTCAACTTGTTTTTGGAAGTGAAAATGCCACCAGAATCATGGGTTTTGAGAATCAAGTTAGAATTTTTTACGGAAAGCATGAGAAACCCGACTTGATCGGAGTTGTGGCCGGTGGGGAAGAAGAGGAGGGATGAGGAGGAGGAGGGAAGGCGGAGGGAGATGAGGCGGTTGTGGAGGAAAAGGGGAGGAGGGTGGAGGAGGGGGAGGGGGAGGAGGGAGGAGGAGAGAGAGGAGGCGGTGGAGGGGAGGAGAGAGAAGGGATAGGAGGAGGAGGGGGTGGTGGAGAGGAAGCGAGGGAGAGAGAGGGAGGGGAAAGGGGGAGGGAGGAGAGGAGAGAGAGAGGGAGAAGAGAAGAGTAGGGTTAGGGTTTGGGGAGAGGGGTTGAAGAGGAGAGGGCCTAGTTGTGATTTGGAGGGGGAGGAGTAGGCGCCGCCGGAGAGGAGGAGGAGGGGGGAGGAGAAGACGGAGGAGATGGGCCACATTGACTTCCATTCCTCTGATAAATTCATATTCCTCTGCTTGGGTGCCGTTGATTTGTTTGTTCTTCGGCTATATGCTCCGACAGAGGAGAAGAGGGGAGCTTCTATATACACACACCCTTTCCTCTCTATACAAATCTTTCTTAATACACACACTAAAAAAATAAATCCTAATATATTTGACTCACTACACACACCTATCATTCCACATATATCCCAAATGTAAATCATACACACACACCCCCTCTCACACACACACACACACACCCGTGAGACCCCTCTCACACACACACCCATCTGAGAACCCCTCTCACACACACACCCATCTCTCACACTCTCCACCACACACACCCATCTGAGAACCCCTCTCACACACACACCCATCTGAGAACCCCTCTCACACACACACCCATCTGAGAACCCCTCTCACACACACACCCATCTGAGAACCCCTCTCACACACACACCCATCTGAGAACCCCTCTCACACACACACCCATCTCTCACACTCTCCACCGTTCCTCCCCAAAAGCTTCATCCATCCATTTGTGTCATTGAAGTTTTGGCATCATTGAAGTTTTGCCATTGAAGGGCATTGAAGAACATTGAAATTTTCACATTTTAGGTTAGTTTACACAGATTAGAATCTTCTCATTCCTATTTTATTTGTAATGTAGGGTTAATTTTTACCATTTTCGAAATTCTCAGTCCACTGTGATTGCCGTGTTTCATTCGGAACTGGTTATTTGAAATTTTTGTTTTTGTTCGGCAGTAGAGTTCCGAAATTTCTGCTTCCATTCGGTACTATAGTTCCGAAAATATTGATTTGGTTCGGCTTTCAAGTGCCGAAAATAAATTTTTTTTTCGGTTTTCAACTTCCGAATATGAGCTATAATTTCGGACAACAAGTTCCGAACAGAACAGGTATTTTCGGACAACAACTTCCGAACAAAACAGGTGTTTTCGGACAACAACTTCCGAACAGAGTAGGTGTTTTCGGACAACAACTTCCGAACAGAGTAGGTGTTTTCGGACAACAACTTCCGAACAGAGTAGGTGTTTTCGGACAACAACTTCCGAACAGAGTAGGTGTTTTCGGACAACAACTTCCGAACAGAGTAGGTGTTTTCGGACAACAACTTCCGAACAGAGTAGGTGTTTTCGGACAACAACTTCCGAACAGAGTAGGTGTTTTCGGACAACAACTTCCGAACAGAGTAGGTGTTTTCGGACAACAACTTCCGAACAGAGTAGGTGTTTTCGGACAACAACTTCCGAACAGAGTAGGTGTTTTCGGACAACAACTTCCGAACAGAGTAGGTGTTTTCGGACAACAACTTCCGAACAGAGTAGGTGTTTTCGGACAACAACTTCCGAACAGAGTAGGTGTTTTCGGACAACAACTTCCGAACAGAGTAGGTGTTTTCGGACAACAACTTCCGAACAGAGTAGGTGTTTTCGGACAACAACTTCCGAACAGAGTAGGTGTTTTCGGACAACAACTTCCGAACAGAGTAGGTGTTTTCGGACAACAACTTCCGAACAGAGTAGGTGTTTTCGGACAACAACTTCCGAACAGAGTAGGTGTTTTCGGACAACAACTTCCGAACAGAGTAGGTGTTTTCGGACAACAACTTCCGAACAGAAAATAATTTTTTTTTTTAGAGAGTATATCAACAATTTCAAGAAGAGGAAGCCGATATCTGTTGGTTTTATATGTGCAATCCATAATTAATATACGTGGGAAAGACCGAAATTAAGTCCAAGCTGGTAGGATGTGCCCAAAACAAGTCAATCAAGTCATCGTGGACTCTTCAGACCGATGGCGCTCAATGTAATTATACTTGCCCAATTCACCCAATAAGTGTTGCATCTGTGATCTTCCAGCTCTCTGTACCACCCTGTTTCGATGGGCGTACATTGTAAATGTTTTTAGTGTGCTTAACATTGAGGGCATCTCGCTGTTTCAAGGTACTAGGATTTCTTTTGGCCGAACCATGCTCTTTGACATATCCATTAACAATGCTTTCTCATCCTTGGATAGCCTCCCCGCATATGAATGTCCCTCGAGGTGCTCCGCAGGTGGATGATTATGCAATCCGCATACTACAGTCAATGTCCATTCATCATATGTGGTAAACCTGTGAGCCCTCATATCAAAAGGACAACTACACTTCTTCGTACCAGTTATTTCGATGTATTTGTTGCCATCATGTTTAACTTCTTGTTGCTCTATATTGGCCCTCTCTCACAACAAGATACATCCTGGGTCTTTTTTTCCCTCCACCATAGTCTGATGTTTTGATTACAATGACCAAACCATTTCTCTTTCCAACTTCACGTACCCAGTTGAGCAATTCATCATTACTTTTGAATACCTACAAAGTTAAATAAATATTATCAAACATTTACATTTGGTGAGCAATTCAAAACATAATCGTTTAATTTCGTAGACTGAACCTGTTCAGTTGTGAAATGAGTGGTGTATCTAACACAAAATTCGCGCAAACCTGACTCCCTTGAGTTGACAAATATTCCTGCATGTTTTGTATAACATTACAAATTTTTAATGGCATTATAAAGATTAATTTGCAATTGAAACTGTAAATTTGGTATGCAGTTTGCAAATTTGGAATATAAAATGGAAAAAAAAAATTTACTTCATTCGGAAGTAGTTGTCCGAATGTTTTTCCAAATTTCGGAAGTAGAATGTTGTATAAGTTAACATTTTTCGGACAAACAACTTCCGAATTTATATATATGTTTCGGACAACAACTTCCGAAATTTATCAATTTATTCGGACA